AAACTCTCATCCTTCTTCTTTACAAACAAAATCGGAGCACCCCAAGGAGATGCACTTGGTCTAATGAAGCCTTTGCTCAACAACTCTTGAAGTTGGGCTTTTAACTCCCTTTCGAAACCTCTTTGATGTCGATGCCATGGTGAATTCATTTGGCTTCACTCCTTCCACCTCTACCACGAAATCTACCACTTCTTGGAAGGATTTTGCAGTAGCCGCTACCTGTAAGGCTGAAATCCGCAACTCTGACCTCAACCCTTTCACAAAACGACGAATCCGCTGTTGTGGACTGAAACAAAGTTGAGTGGCATATCTGGATAGTGCACGGAACTTAGCCTCATAAGCATTAACCGACATCCTACTTTGCTCTAGGCTCAGGAACTCATCCCTTTTCCTATCCCTCAAAGTCCGGGGAATATACTTCTCCATAAACAAGCTAGAGAACGAGGCCCAAGTCATAGGTGGTGCCTCTATTGGTTGACACTCAATATGTGACCGCCACCACATTTTGGCGTTCCCTTGAAACTGATATGTCACAAACTCCACACCAAACCGTTCTACTATACCCATCCTGTGTAGTAGCTCGTGACAGTCAACCAGAAAATCATAAGCATCCTCCGATTCCGCACCCTTGAAGACCGGAGGTTTCAATTTCAAGAACTTACTGAAAAGTTCGTGCTGATCATTTGTCATTATAGGCCCAGTAGTCAGACGTGGAAATGTACTTATTCCTAATGGAACATCCATGCGGGGAGCCATAGTAGCCACATGTTGTACCTCTGAAACCGGAGGTGTTGGCGTAGAAAACACTGGAGGTGCCTGACCTTGATCAGACAACCCACTGAGATAGGCGAGAACCTGATTGATCATCTCTGGGGTAGGTTGGGGTGGCAATCCCTCATTCTGCACTTGTTCATTTTCCCCATCCTCCCCTTCTCTTATTACCTCCTCGGTCTATGGAGGAGCCACTTCCCTAGTATCAGATGGGCTAGGTGCTCGTCCTCTTCCCCTAGAGGACGTCCTCCCACGACCTCTACCACGGCCCCTTGCCGTTGTTCTTCCTCGAGCCACAGCCCCAGTGGCTGGCTCAGACGCTTCTTGTCTTGCCGATGTTGGTGTTGGCGCAGTCGTTGCTCTAGTTCTAACCATCCGCGAAATAGAGTGAAGATGGTCAGATACCAATTCGTATCGCCTAGATACCAATAAGACTCAAGTAGTAGCACGAAAGAAAGAACGAAAGAATGGAATTTTCCTAAAGTCTTATAGCCTCTCAAGGAAAAGTAAAGGCGTCCCCCTACCGTTCCTTAAGACCCTACTAGACCTGCTCTTGTGTGATGAGACCAACGAACCTAATGCTCTGATACCAAGTTTGTCACGACCCAAATCCGGGCCGCGACTGGCACCCACACTTCCCCTCCTATGTGAGCGAACCAACCAATCTAAACCTTAACATTTCAACATAATATCAACAGAAAGTAATGCGGAAGACTTAAACTCATTAAATAAAAACCAATTCAATAACTATCAATATTCAACATCTATTATTCCCAAAACCTGGAAGTCATCATCACAAGAACATCTACTTTAAACTACTAATTCTAAGAGTTTCTAAGAAGCTAAAAATACATAAGAAGCTAGTCCATGCCGAAAGTTCAAGGCATCAAGACTTGAAGAAGAAGATCCAGTCCAAGCTAGAAGCATTAGCTCACCCTTAATTTCCGATGTAGTAAGACTGGCTTGAGTTACTGTTGAGTCGAAGATGACGGCACGTTTGCTGCACTCCACAAATAAACAAGAAGAAAACAATAAAAGTAGGGGTCAGTACAAAACACGGGTACTGAGTAGATATCATCGGTCAACTCAAAATAGAAAACAGTATGTATTAAGCAATATCATAAAATCAACTAATATCCTTAGCATGCAGCATTTACAGTTACCATAACCCTTGGTTACAACACCAAGCACATCAATGAGGACTCACACCTCCTCATCATACTCATTTGGGAATTTAGTTCATTAGATTGGATATATTAACATATTTCAAGATTCATTATCTTTATTTCCCCTCGTGTCGGTACGTGACACTCCGCTCCTCAATATACTATCCTGGTGTCGGAACGTGACACTCCGATCCTCATTCTATCCTGGTACCGGAACGTGGCACCCGATCCATATTCTATCCTGGTGTCGGAACGTGACACTCCGATCCTCATTCTATCCTGGTACCGGAACGTGGCACCCGATCCATATTCTATCCTGGTGTCGGAACGTGACACTCCGATCCTCATTCTATCCTGGTACCGGAACGTGGCACCCGATCCATATTCTATCCTGGTGTCGGAACGTGACACCCGATCCATATTCTATCCTGGTGTCGGAACGTGACACCCGATCCATATTCTATCCTGGTACCAGAAAGTGGCACCCGATCCATATTCTATCCTGGTACCGGAACGTGGCACCCGATCCCCTCATCTCACCACTTTCGTTCATCAAGCCTTCTTTTATACCAAGGCATCATCATTAACAAAGTAGATTAGGGTTTCTTTTCAAGATTTGAGATTCAATAGCTTCATCATGCTTATTTATTCACAATTACATAATCACATCATTCATGCAAGCATACAATTAAGCATATAGAAGGTTTACAATACTACCAACACATATCATTCGCTATTAAGAGTTTACTACGAATAGCATGAAATAACCATAACCTACATCCACCGAAGAATTGCGATCAACAAGCTATCTTCTCGAAATCCTTGCTATCCTCTTCGTTTCTCTCTCTCTCTACTCGTTCTCTTTCTTTTTCTGTCTCTCTTCGTTCTTTCTATTTTTCTTATTCAAACCCTCTTTCTTTTACCCTAATTAGTATATAATTAAGAATAAAAGATGGCAATAATACCCCACTAATTAACTTAGGGTTACCTCTTTTAACCCCCATGAATTTGAGTTATTAATATAAACCCACGAACTTTATAATTAAGACATGAATAGTCAAAAACGTCCCTTTAAAACTTAACCAGAAATCCGACTCCAACTGGGATTACGCAAGCTGTGACGGGCCGTCGCGCCTGCGACTGTCCGTCCTGCTGTCCGTCGCATAGTTCAGAGACTCAATTTCTCTGAAGAGTCTGTGACGGTCCGTCCTGCCATTCCGTCACAAAGTTCAGAGAGTCGATTTTCAGTACCCAATTTCAGATTTTCTAAGTGTTTTGAAACGAGACCCTGCGACGGTCCGTCGTGCCCATGACGTTCCGTCGTGGGGTCCGTCGCTTCTGCCAGTTTTTCCAGAATTGAAGTCTGTTGGCTCAAAACGACTAAACGGGTCGTTACAATATGATACAAAGTTAATGCATACATATTTTTGCTATAAAAGAAGCAGCTAAACAACGTCACTATGACGTGGATGATATCAAACACATAAACGATAAGTGTAATTAAAAGAAAATCAAACATTTCATGATTTTATAATATATGCCTACAAAAATTATTTCTTATTTTCATAAAAATAAAGTTTACATCTATATATTCTATATCTACCTGTAGTTTATATTTTAACCTCTACCAAGATATATAACCTAAATTCTTAGTCTAATTTTTGATATCCAAAGTTAGTATACCTGCATGAATTCTGAAAAAAAAAATTGTAAGTCATTTTGTAGACTTTATGCCAAAACACTTATTGCTCTTAGTGTTGCATAAGTTTTTTTTTTTTAACAAAAAAATATCTAATACCATTTTAATTTGAAAAACATTTGAAAACAGAGTGAATGAGATTAAATAAAAAAAAATATGATTAAGATATTACAAAATTCAAAGTGATATTAAAAAATAATATGATTTTTTTCCTCAAGAAATACATCATACTAAACAAATAAACTTTTATTATGCTTCCTCTTAAAGACTGCGAGAAAATTAGAAAAAAATAGACATGAAATTAGCATTTATGTATATAGCAAAAAGTCAGTTTGGAGAGATCAATTCACATAATGCATATACTTTGTTAGACAATTTTTCTTATGCTTGATCAAATGTATCTACTCCTCCATAAGTTGATGTATCACTATATCATATGTCTTCATATCATATAAAGAAAAATAATATACATAAAAAAAAAAATTAGAAAATTCATCGTCCCAAAGCGAAGTGCTCTCCCTATATCTTCTCTCCAAATTTGTGAAGAACATAGTAGAAAAAAATAATTATTTTTTCCTTTATATCTACTCTCTTCAGGCAGAGGCAATTTCAAAAAAAATAAAAAAATAAGAAGCAGTTTTTGGATAATTATTTGCAATTCAAAAATTGTGAAAGTTCCTATTAAAAAGGAGTCTCAATTAAAAAACGTAAGCAAACAAACAATTTTACAGTTTTAATAAGGTAAAAAAACTTCAACTTGTCTTTTTTAAAACAGTATTTTTCTTAAAACACTAAATGAATTTGTTTGATGAAAAAATAAGTTAAAAGAAGCGGAAGAAAAAGGGATAATGGAGTTTCATCTGTCCTTTTTTTATTTTTTTAAATATTTTTTTTAATCTTTTTCTATTATATCTTTGACTTTTTCAAATGTAAAAGTGTGGTAACTATTTTTTTTAAAAAAAAGCCTAATTGTTGTTTCTGTAAAAAAATATTTTCAATTATAATTTTTTTTTATCTTTGACTTTTTTCAAATGTAAAATTGCTGTAACTATTTTTTTTTAAAAAAATTCTTGGTTTTAGTTTTTCAGAAAACCATTTTTAATTCTAACTTAATTTTTAAATTTTATTTTTTAAAACTAAATAATAGAAATATTTGTGACGTTGATCGTAGTTGCGAATCTCACCCCAATCGTGAATTATGTTAGAACACAATTCATTTATGTAAATTTGGAGAGTGTTAAATACATATATATATATATATATATATATATATATATATATATATATATATATATATATATATATATATATATATATATATATTTTTATGTTGATATATAAATATATATTACATGTACTATATATCCTCCCGACATTAATTTCAAGAATCTGCTAAACAAACTATTTATCAATTATAAACAAAGTAATTAAGTAATGCATATCAACCATTATGCTGTCACAAAACAGAAAGAAAAAGAGTTAGACAATGATTATAAGGTAAAATACTATAATATATGTTAACATAATTATGAAAGAATATAATTGCACAGTACCTTTCTATATCGTTGAATCAATTCAAGCAAGAATGAGTTGTGCAACACCAGCCTTCGTTTCATCGTATTTTGAGATAGATATTTCCCAAATAAAGTCACTATCAATTGTCTTTTTGTCATGCAAACGTTGTATCTTAGTATCTTATAAAGGCACTGCTTTGATATAGGCAAACAACCTACATATATGCAACTGTTATATACATTGGCAGTTGCCAGACCCTTTATGTAATATGTTCAACACATTAGACATTGGTATCATCGAATCTTTAGTGTTGTTCATTTGTGATAACCGAATTCTTCAAAAGAGGGTATATTTGATGTTTTTAAATTTGGCTAAAAACAATATATGATTTATCATAAATCATATTTCCAATCGGTCTAGTGCTGATGCATACTGTAGTATTTTGTTTAGTTATTTCTTAATATAATTTGGAAAAAGAAACATAAATTTTTTATTGTTATCCATCAATTTTCATGAAATTCAGAATCGGACGTTAGAAATTAGATTAATTTTTTTTCTTATATATAAATTGATACATTAGGAAATAGAAGTATATGCATAATTCCCAGTATTTCGCATAAACCTAATATCAATTAAAAATATCCATGAGATAATAGTTTGTGGTAGGAATTAAAAGAAAAAATATCAATATTCTCAAATAAATTCAGAGCTGTAATGCAGTGTAATAAATATTTGTGAAGAAACAATTTTCATTTTTCTGTCTTTCTCACTCTCAAGTAGCACAACTTACTTCAGTTTCGCACTTCAATTTATTCTCAAAAAAGCTTTCTTGGCTATGGTGATCTTCTTCTCCGCTGATGACTACTTTTCTGCTGACTCTTCTATGCCTTTGGTGTCATTGAAACTGCATGAGAAAATATGAAAGGAAATTGAAAGTAAGGAGTGAATTAAGTGAATAATTGGCTTGAACATATGGATAAGATAATTAAATACATTTAAATATGATAACAGTTATTTGTGGTTTAGAATTTTTAAACTTAAAAGTTATATTAATGGTGGAAAACTATTTAACCGTCAATAAGATAGAGTTCAATAAAAAAAATTTTAAAAAAAATACTCCAATTCGCTTAAGAAAATTCACATTTTTTTCTTTTTAGTTACGTATTCTTTTACCAACAGCGTGCATTTGTTTTTTTTTAAATACAATATTATTATTTTTATTTTTTAAAAATTTAAAAAAAATTAATTTTTAATTTTTTAAAAACTATTTTTATTCTGGTGCTGACACATAGGCACTATCACCTTTCCTATTATATATATAGAGATATTGTTAATTTCACCATTGTTGATCCAATTGGATGATCGATTCGATCACGTTAAGGCACAAAAGTATTTAAATTAGTAAACTCTTGATTTGTAATAAATTATACTTTAATTATAGTAATTTTCAGATAATATAGATAAAAAAATAAAGTTGATAATTTTTTCAAGGAAAAATCTTTTTGGCCATAAAAATTTGGCTATAATTTGACTAGAATGGTATATTTTTTTAATATTTTTCGCTTTAACATAAATATTCCCTCTGTCCTATTTAGTTGACAACTTTAAAAGTGACACATGTATTAAGACACCAATTATTATCATATGTTAGTTACAATTTACTCTTAATTTAAAAGATTATACAACTCCACAAATAAATATATATTCTGGTTCCAAAAAGCATGCACTAACTTAGTAGTACTAAAAATTTTCTAACATTAAATAAGGGTATATTAGGCAAAAAATTGTTGTCCTTTCTTGATTTGTTAAAATAGACAAATAAATAGGGACAGATATAAAAGGAAATATAGATAAGTAAATAGGCATAGAGAGAATATTAAATTATTCCTCAATTATATTTTCAAGACATTAAAAATTATTAGTGAAATTAATTGTTGATGATTTCATAGTTAAACGTGGGAAAGAAATCAAAAACTTCACCAAACAAAACATAAAACATAATTCGCACACTCTTCTCACTTGTGATTTTAAAGATCTAAAATAAATAAATAGAAAAATAAAATTATAATATATATATATATATATATATAGTAGTAAAACAATAAAAAAATATCTCTTTTTCAATTTCAATTTCAATTTCAATTTCAATTTTCCTCCTTTTTACTTATTATTTTTAGTTTATTTTTTTTATTCATTTCTTATTTCTTGATGATAAGAAAGATTTTAAAAAGTATAAAAAGAGAAGTGAAGTGTAAATTATCTATTTTAATTTATAATTTCTAATCGTAAAAACATAATTTATATCTAAATTTAAATATTTAAAATTTGTATTAAAAATAAAAATATGAAATTGGCTGGCTAAAGAATTGCTCTTATTTATTTAAAATAGTTGTTGTAACACATCGATTTTCCAAAAAAAAAATTTATGATAAAAATATATTTTATCCGATTATACTCAGAATGCATGTTAGTAAAATATGAAAAAAAACTACAATTATCATCATGTTTCCTCTATTATGTGATTATATTCATATCTTCAATTACATATGAATCACATCATACACAAAAAAGGCTCATTAAAATTAATTTTTATTTATTAATACAGTACTAAGAGACACATACAATTTTTTTTTATAAAAACGTTGATGGTGCTTCATTGAAAATTTTTAATAACACAGAAAGGATATAGAAAGTTTTTATGATTTCAAAATAAGCTTTTATTTTTTTAAAAAATGAAAGAAAACATCTTTATAGTTGGTAAGAAAGTATTATTTGTTATTCTATAAAAAAATGTTTGCTATTAAATGATATGCTAAAATATTAAGTGTAAAATCGCGCCTCATTTTCTGGAATTTTCTCTCTCTAGACTTTCTCTCTCTTCGCAAGCACTCTCTCTCACAACGAATAGTATTCCAGACTCGCCCAGCGCCGCCACGGCGCGTGGGTCGCCGGCAGCCGTCAAATAGCCACCGGACCAAATCCAGAAGAAGCGCCTTGAAGAAGGCTACCCCCTGCAGATCACGATCCATGAACAACCTCAGAACTCCACGAATTTGCAGGTAAAAGATGCGATGGAACCTGCGAGTGTTGAAGGGAAGTTCAATGACGATCCAAAAAATATTTCTCCAGGCATTTCTGGGTTGAATCGAGAAGAACGATGTAAGGAAATGAATTCCTCACATCAGGACCTATCATCCAAAAATCAGAGAATTCCTCCGTCCAAATCTCTCAGAATCGAGAGGCGATTCTGGAAGGAATCGCGACAGAATCGCCGGAGTCGCACCTTCAAATTTGAACGAGTTCCAGTCAAATTCGAAGGGATTTGACCACTGGGGTTTGTTACCCCAATGATAAGGCCCCTCCCAGCAAAATTTCAAAGTAAGTGGACGGTGGAATCGCCGGTGGTGAGAACTCCGGTGACGCTACAGCTCCAAACGCCGGAATCAATGGAAGTTCGACAAAAGAGTCGGATTCTTAGGCCAAGAACATACACTTAACAAATATTACTATCCAACCCAACAGAGACACAAATAATCTTAACAGGGCGATGCTTTCCACTGATTCTATGGCCAACTCTCAACATGATCGACATGAGAGTGAAGGGGAAACCTCTGGAAATGTTTGAAGAGTTGAATGGAACAACAATACTGTTGCAGCGCCATCAGTTGAAGCAACAACAATGGCCAAAGAAAACAAAATGCAACAAGGGGAAGAACTCGACTGATCAACAGGGCAATTTGAAGACACATACAGTAGACCCAACGAATGCAGCTTCAACAAATGATAGTTTGAACTTCTCTTTTGCCATGACAAGTAATTAATCATACCCAACTCCTACGTTTATTTGCAGGTAATTCACAGCCTTGAATAATTGTTGGATATTTTGGGAAAGTTGTTGTGATATTCCTCTCTTGCTTTAATATTCTGATCTCCTGAATTACTTCCCCCTTGTTGGTCGTGGTGTTTAGCTTGATCAGGTTGTTTCTCTTTATTACTTTGTCCCTTCTCTGATTTGTGTTTGCTTATCTCCACGTTCCCTTGTTTTTCAACAGCTTGCTGTTCTTGCTTTCCTGGTTGATCACCTTGTTTCTTTCGTTTCTCTTTCCTTTGGTCCTTTGTATTCCCCTGTGTATAAATAGAGGAGCTTTCCTCATAAATAAGACACACCTTCATCCTTACATCTCTCATCTTTCTAATTACTCTCTCTTTACGCTTCCACCCCTCCATTGGTATCAGAGCTAGTTAAACAAATAATTATGGAAAAGAAACCAACTATGTCGGAAGATCTACAAAAACAGTTATACCATTTTATATTCATGAGTAGCTAGATTAATTTATTCCTGAAAATCTCCTTGTTAATTATAATTGTTTATCATGTTTGAATAATGTTATAATAACCATCTTTAGAAAGTTTGCTACAGAAATATTCTTCGAATAAGTATGCCCAGACTATGCCATCCTAAGGTTGAAACCGGTAGGCAGAGAAGGCCGTTTAGGGGAGTAAACAAAGTTGAGGCGCTGTTAGGATAACTAATCAAAGAAGAAAGCTGTAGTAGTGACCAGATGAGATGATTATTAAATTATTATTTTTGCATAATAAACAAGTATAATTTATTAAGAGGTTGGAAGGAATAAAATTTTAGTGAAAAATGAAAATAATAAAAATGGAAACATACCTATTAGACGATAATGTTGATTATAAGATATTACTACTCTATTTACTGAAAAATTTGAATACTGATATAAAAAGAGAAATTTATAATAAATTATTAACATATGAGATAATAGAAATAACAACCCAAGGTTGGACTGAGTTAACCATACAAAGTATACAAGATGAGCTTTATTATGACATGTATGATTTATATGATGATTTAGATATTGGAGATTAAATATGACTGAATATTGGCTAAGGCGATATGGTAGAAATTACAGGTTAAAAAAGATTAGATATCCAGATAAATTAAGTAAGCTTTTTAAAATATTATATAAAAAGTTATGATGAATAAAAATAAAAATACTAAAATAAAAAGAACTAAGATAGATAAAAAGGTAAGAAAAATATGGAAAGATTTAAGATCTTTATATACAGAATATGAATTATCACAACTAGTCAAAAAACATAATGATAGAAAGGATCAATTGATAAACATAATTTCAAAAACAGAATATAAATATGTCTGCTATTTGAAAAAACAGTATGAACAGAGAAATCTATAAACAACAATTAATAGAAGAAATAATGGAAAAAATGGCTGAAAAAGAACAAGAATTACAACATAGAAAAAGAAGATTAGAAGAAAACATATTAGCAGAAGTATGTAATAAATCAATACTAGCACAAAGAAAAGATATATCCATGTTAAAATTAGAATTAGATTGTCTTGAATATGAGTTACAACATAATATAATACATAGATTACAATGAATAAAGAAGAATTTGCAGTAGACGAAAAAACATATGAAAACCAAGATGGAATGATAATAAAAATAGTATTTTCAAATTTAGGAAGAAGATACAAGAGAATAGAAAATAACTTATACTTAATGCTAGAAAAAGAAACAGCAAAATTAGAAGATAGTTTAACAGCTATGGTAAGAATAACAAAAGAAAATGAAGAAATAGATAAATCAAGAGAAATTGAAAAAATAAAAACACAAGCAAAACAAGAAGTACAAAATTTAGAAGAAATAAAAAATACAAGAATAAGTGAATTAGAAAAAGAATTAGCTAGGTTAAAATTATTATATGAAAATAAACAAAAACAAAAAGATAAAGAGCTAGAATTAACAAATGAAATAAAACAAATGGAACAGAAACTAAATGAAGATCTAAAAGATCTAAATGAAGATATTGAAGTAAATGAAATAGACGGAAATGAAAATGACCAACAATCAGAAATAAGTGATATAAGTGAAACATATACAGAAATTCTAGAACAGATAAATAAACCAAAAAAATTAGAAATAAACACAGGAGATATGAATAGACCTAGTACGTCGAGAGTAAAACCCCCAGATAATAGTCCCAGAAATAGCCCTAGAATTAGTCCTAAATGGACACCACCAACTTATTATACAGAAAGCTACCAACAATCAGACAGAAATAATGCAATATGGAACAGTAGACTAAATAAAAATTGGACACCTACACCAGCAAATGAACAATACAATTTCTTAGATTTAGATTGTGTCGCAGATATAAATAAAGCAATATTGT